TACACTGTGCTTGCCTGATGTCCTGTGGTGGTCATAAGAGAGCATCTGATCCCCTGGAACTGAAGTTACAGATGGTTGTGAGCTGTCATGTGGGTGCTGGGAATTGAACCCAGGCCCAGTTCTTTTAACCACTGAGTCATCTCTCCAGCCCTATGTGTATATTTTGTATCCTGCTACTTTGCTGAAAGTTTTTTACTGTTGTTTAAATATAAGATTAGTTGATTTTTTTAAAGGTTTATTTCTGTGTGGGGGGTTGTGTGGTATGGGTGTGCTGTGGGTGGGTGGGGGGGGGTGTGAGTGCAGTATGGAATGGAATGAGTGTATGTGGCTGAGTGTGGTGTGGGTGCCCACAGAGGATAGAAGAGAATGTCTCATTTTTCTGGAGCTGGAATTATAAGCAGTTGTAAACTTCCATTTGCGTGGTGGGAAGGAACTAAACTTGGGTCTTCTGAAAGAGCAGCAAGAGCTCCAAACTTCTGAGCCATCTTTCTGATCCTTGCTGAAAGTTTTTACAAGTTCCAAGGCTTTTTTATTGTAGTATATTATGTATACAGTTATGTTATCTTCAAATAAAAATACTTGGTTACCCTTCCATTTTGTGTTCCTTTTGTATGTGTGCCTCTCATGTCTTGCTGTATATAAAATTTCCAGCATGATACTGAGTAAGAGTGAATCAAGTGGACACTTTCTTTCTCCTGATTTGGTAGCGATACCCTGATATTTTCCCCCCTCCATTTAATATGATATTCATGTTTGTCACATATATTCTTGATTATGCTGAGATTTATCTTCTATTCTGAGTTTCTTCAGGCTTGCTTGTTCATTTTCAAAAGCCATCTATCAAGATGGCCAGTAGGACTGTAAGATGACTTAGTGGTTAAGAGCACTTGCTGTCTTGCAGAGTACCTGGGTTTACTTCTCAACACCGACTAGGTACTTTCACCTGTCTATAACTCCAGTTCTAGGAGATCCAGTGCCCTGTTCTGGCCTCCTCAGGCACTAGGCACCCAGTTGGTGCCTTACATACGTGTAAGCAGACACTTACATGTATGAAATAAAATTAAAATAAATAAATCTTTTAAAAAATGATTTAAAGAGATTTCTGTCCTTGAGTCTATGTGGTATATATTACATTTAGTGGTTTGAGTTTGTTGAACCATCTCTGTGTCCCTTGAATTAAGATCATAATGAATGATTTTTTTTCTATTTGTTGAGAGTTTTTGCAGTTTTCTTCACTAGGGATGTTATCCTAGTTTGTTTTCTAATCTATAGTAAAACCCATAATCGAAACCGACTTGTGGAATAAAGGGTTTGTTTGGCTTACACGTCCACATTATAGTCCATCATTGAGAGAAGTTAGGGCAGGAACTCTATCAGGAATCTGGAGGCAGGAAATCAAACAAAGCTTGTTCTTTATTCAGCCCACTACCTGCCCAAAGGTGGCACTGTCCATGGTGACCTAAGTCCTCTCACATCCACCATTCATAGTATTTTTTTTTCTTTTTTTGTTTTCTTTTTCATAGTATTTTTTTTTTAAATGTCACAGCGGCTGGAGAGATGGCTCGGCCATTAAAGGCTAGGCTCACAACCAAAAATATAAAAATGCCACAGACTGTCCTATACCCATCAAATCTTCTGGAGTTTTGGGTAGTGGGGACCAAACTCAGGTCCTCTGTAAGAGCTAACCACATCCGCCTTTGGGCTGCTACTGTTGCATCCTGTGGGTGAGGCATGTTTAATTTTCATTTATTTATTTTTGGTTTCCTTTTTATTTTTTTAGGCCAATCTGATAGAGGTGTTTTCTCAGTCGAGGTTCCTGCTTCCCCAATGTAGCATTTTCTTACTAGGTCACTTCTCAGGGACTTTGGGTGTTTTGAGAGTGAAGTAGTGGATTCCTTGTTCGGAGCTGGCCTGCTATCTTACCCTCAAACTCTGGTGCTTCACATTATCTTCCAAATAGAGCTACTGTTTATACCTGGAAGACAGTTAAAACATCTTTCTTAGAGTCTTTTGAAAAGGTATATGAACTTTAGCTGATACACGTTTGTGTATAGATAAAAATAAACTTAACATTTTTATATTAAATTTAATAGTACCAACTAAAGATATTAAGGATGAAGTTACTTTCTATATCCTTTGAGATGCATGCAGTGTTTTTATTACTATAATGATTTCCAGAGTTTTTTTTTATATTTTCTTTTATATTTTTTTTATTTCTCCAAATCATTTGAACTGTCTTTATGCCGGAATTGAATCTTTTTTCCAGTGAAATTTTACTTTTAATAGCCTTAGAAATGCTCATATTTTCTATATTTGAGGACTTGCATGTCTTCAAAAATTTCAACATTCCACATTTACTAATACTCTTCACCCCCTTTTTTTTTTTTGAGACAGGGTTTCTCAGTAGCTTTGAACTCCATCCTGTACACCAGGTTGGCCTCGAACTCACAGAGATCCGCCTAACTCTACCTCCTGAGTGCTGGGATTAAAGGCATGTGCCACCACCACCAGGCCTACTAATGCTTTTCATTCCTGCTTTATTTTTGTTTTTTTTATATTTAAAATTTTTATTTATGTGTATATGAGTGCCACATTGTGCAGATGTCTGTGTAGCCAGAATAGGGAAACCCTTGGATAGTTAGAGGTAGTTGTGAGGTACCTGAAGTGGTGCTGGGATCTAAACTCAGGTCCTCTGAATAAATAGCACATCAACCTCTGAGCCATCTCTCCAGCCCTTCTTGCTTTATTTTTATCTGTAGCACTCACGACCTAAAGTATGTGTTTATTATTTTGTTTACTCTTACTAAAATGTGTGCTCCCTCAGAGCTGGTGATTGCTTAGAATAATATATGACAAATAGTGAGCTTTCAGTATTTGTTGAACAAATGCTTCAGTTTTCTAAAATATTTCTCTTTCAGGTATATTGCAGTTTTTACCTTTTCATGAATTTTATAGGCTTATCACATGTACCAAATCAAAATTATCTTAACTAGTTCATTTATATGTTGTCCTTGCTCTGTTTTATGATCTTCTTCGTAAAGTCATGTTTATCTTGTGTTCATTTCCATCTCCTTGCCCCGGTTTCTTTAACACCTTGATATGACAATCTTTAGAGTTAGGTGAAAGTCTACGGGCCTGGGAATAACACAATAAAGGTTTAATTATGGTAATACTTTTATATCTTTTTGGGGGGGCTTGTTTTGGGTGGGTTATTTTTGCTTTGTTTTGAGACTTGGTCTCATATATGTAACCTTGGCTTTCCTGGATCTCACTATGTAGACCTGGTATGCTTTGAGCTCAGTGCTCTGCCTGCCTCTGCTGAGTGCTGAGTTAAAGGTATACATCACCACTACTAGCTTGGAACTCTTAGTGTAGGCCAGGTTGGCCTTCAACTTGCAGCGCTCCTCTGACTTACCTCAAGTTCTGGGGTCGCAGGCATGTGGCACCATTGCAGCTTATATGTTGTATATGTTTGAAAATACTACTTGTAAGACTATATTAGGGAAATAGATGGTTCACGAAAACAAATCTAAGATCTAAAATATTCTAAGGTAGCCAACTAGAAATTAATTTTCTTTTAACAAGATCTCCTGAGTAAATTGAGAGCATGGGGACCTTGGGAGAGGGTTGAAGGGAAAGGGGGAGAAGCAGGAAGGGGAGCAGAGAAAAATGTAGAGCTCAATAAGAATCAACTAAAAAATAATTTTCTTTAAAAAATTGTGTAATTTTTAACTGTCTTTCTATTCCGTATTACTATTATCAGAATTAAATTAACACTGTAAAGTAAAAATAATTTTCATATTAATTTCAAGATACAGTTTCAACAATTTAATGATTTTGTACTTTTAACTTTCTATTCTCCCCAACAAAAGTTGTTATAAACAAATTATATTGCTATTTGGTACACTATACTAAGCATTCATATTGTATGTTAATTTTACATGATAGTAAATTTAGCAATTATATAAAAATATAAGCAGACTCATGGTGTAAATGTCAGGGTGTGTTTGCATGAGGTCACTGCTGACTGCGGTGATGAGGGAGCATGATGTCATCTTCTCATTGTGGGAACAGTGACTTGGGAGAAGTAGGGAACAATAGAATGGGAGGGTGGGTTACTGAGGAGAGAATGAAGAAACAAGAGTTGTGGACCATGCTGAAGATTATCACCCAATTGGACAGTTTTGCTTGTAACAGTTGACGGATACAGAGTGTCACATGGCAAGTCAATAGGTTAATGTTTCTGATTATCAATATTGACTCGTGTTCCTCAAAAATAAGTGTTTATTTTTTATCTGTAAAGTCTTTAAGATAAAACTTTTTTCCATAAGCTTTATTTAAGAGGGTGAATTCAGAGGAAGGTTATTTTCATGAAGTATGGTATAGACAAAATAATGATTGCTGCCGGGTGGTGGTGGCTTGACATTCAATGTTGATACCAGTACTGAGGAAGCAGAGGCAGGCAGATCTCTGTAATTTCGAGGCCAGCCTGATCTACAGAGTGAGTTCCAAGACAGCCAGGGCTGTTATTCAGAGAAATGCCATCTCAAAAAACTAAAAAGAAAAAAGTAGCAATTGCTTTAAAATAAATATTTATGTTTTTAAAAACTTAAAGTGATAGTCTTCATTTTGCTTCAATGAAAAGAATCTAAAAATCAAAATAAATTGAGGTTTTCCCTTTTAAGTTATTTACTTTATATTTTGAGATAGGGTTTTATTCTTTAGCTGAGGCTATCTCAGACTCAATATTTAAGCCAGGCTGATTCAGACTTGTAAAAAGAACTCCTTTCTCAGCCTCACAGGTGAGAGAGTTATAGATATGAGCCACCATGCTTGATCATTTAAGTCTGTCATAACTTATTTAACTCATAAGGTGCAAAACTTAAGACGTAATAGATCCTTTGCATGTTTGTTTTTAATGTAGCGCGCCCACAGAAGTGGTGAGTCTTCCTAGCCAGCATGAGCCATACAGTTACTAACTACTGGGTATCGTTTTACAGGAGACTCTGCAGCAGTTGATCATGATGTCATTGCCAAATGTCTTAATCATTGGCAAAAATCCCTTTTCTGGTAAGTTTTAAGTTGCTATAAGGGGATAATAATGCCTTATGTTTTTGTGACACTAGTAATGTTTACCAGGCAGGGGCTTGATTATTTATCTCCATTCTCAGTAGGTTTTTCCACAACATCAGTAGGAAAAGTTGGGAATGATATTTCTGTTTGTAGAGAGAAAAGAAACTCACAATATTTAAGTTGTTGGTGAGATACACGTCAACACTAAATCAGTAATCTTCTCTGCCATATTAAGCTGGTATTTGGTGATGTATTATGGTTTTTATTATCTCAGTCCAAGCAGTCATGTTAGAAAACAAATGATGTTGAAACTTGTTTTTAAGTTTTATACTTAAATGCTTATTTACTATTGCCAAAATTGTTGGAGCTCTGGATTTTCTTGTTTGTTTGTAGTTCATTTTTATAATCATAAAAGGCATTCCAGCCTTTAAATTGAAAGTTTTACTAGTAAACATTTTAATTTATATTAAACAGCTTTAGTGGAAGGATGAAAGGCAGGTTTTTAGATTATTTAAATTATTATACTCAAAAACTCATGCTCTTTTACTAATATTTTTGCTGTTTCTGGAACATGTTCCTAGGGCCTTATATACACCAGACAGTTGCTGTACCCATCCACCCTAGAATTTAATGTTTGAACAATTACCTAGTAGCTATGAAACATTTCAGGAAAGGACTTAATCCTTGTAGGCTGCATGATATTCAAATTGAATATGTCCTCTTTTACTTGAACCCTTGCCCAGTTGAAACAAAAAATAAAATCCACATAGAAGGCAGTATGTAAGCAGCTGTTTTTTATAGAGGAAACTACCAATTAAATTCATTAGTAATAAACTCAGGAATTCAGTTACCTAGATAATCTTTTTTTTTAACCTAGATAATCTTTAGAGATACACAGGGAGATTAGCATGCAGAACGGAACTGTTTTTTATTTCATATGTATTTAGTAACTAACTACAAGTCATAGGGAGAAATGGTTCATGTGCTAGAAAATCTTGTGGTTTGGTGAAAGATCCAAAGATGAGTGTAAGGTCATATAATTCATATGACAGAGATATGTACAAAATACTAAGGCATGTAAAAACATAGAGTGTTAATTATTCTTAAAATTGTCAGGGTTAGAGTTGGGACTCTGGTGACATGTCAAGAAGGACTGCACATATGAGATCTGTTTATGGTGGTGGAAGTGGTTCACTAAGGAATTGAGGAGGGGAAGGAAAGCAACTTGTAGCCAAAGTTACAACCGAAGAGTGTGTACTGATTGTTAAAATGACCTAGTAAGTCTAGAAAAAATAGCTTCATGGAAAATAAGATAAAGTCTCTTATTCATCACAGGTAAGTTAACCTGACAGTGAAAATCTTTCTGAATTTTATGTTTGTGGTTGTGTTCAGCCAAATGTTTTAAGACTATCTTAATTGAATGCATGTTAACAAAGATTGTTCTGCAGTTCTGTTAAAAGTTCTGGATAACTTTTATCCAGTTTTTAACATACAGATCTTTCTTTTCTTAAAATTTATTATTGTGAAACAGGATCTCAGCTGGGCGATGGTGGCGCATGCCTTTAATCCCAGCACTCGGGAGACAGAGGCAGGCAGATCTCTATGAGTTCGAGGCCAGCCTGGTCTACAGAGCTAGTTCCAGGACAGGCTCCAAAGCCACAGAGAAACCCTGTCTCGAAAAACCAAAAAAAAAAAAAAAAAAAGAAAGAAACAGGATCTCACACTGTAGACTCAAACTAGCTTGGAACTCACTGTGTAGCCCAGGGTAGCTCATGTAGTTCTACTTCAGTCTCTGGGGTGTTGGGATTATAGGTATGAACTACCACACCCAGTTTATTTTATTAGACTCACTGTGATGTACATTTAAGGTTCCGATCCTTAGGAACCTGTGCAGTGAGAAATATATTTAAATTGTATCAGTAGATGAACCATAATGTTTATATTTTACTAAAAACTACTAAAGAGGGGCAGACCCAAGCAACTCTGATATGTTCTTATATCAGCATAATCTAGAGGGATGGTAAGTACAATTTAGAGAAAAGGTGTAGGTGCAGTTAGCATACTTAGCTTAAAGCTTCTTTATCTACTCTGTAACTCTTTTAAGAAGGAGTATCCTTGCCATGTCTCCTGCTGTCATCATATTATGCACACAGAAACCACATGTTTAAATTACACCATTTATTTACAAAATTCATCTTTTGGTCAAGTTGTGGTGATTGACTCTTAGAGTTGATTGTTCCAGTTTCTGAAAGAGTTGAAACAAAGCTAAATGCTATATTCACTTGTGTTTTTATTTCAGAACAAGGCACAGAAGAAGTTAAAAAGTTGCTTTTACTCTTATTGGGTTGTGCAGTTCAGGTAAGTTAATGTTTTTCTTCATATTTTCATTCTTATAAACTGTCTTTGAGCTTCTGTCTAGTTTTCTGAAAGACTTGATAATTTTGAGTATATCATCTTAAAATGAAATTATGTATGAGAGCATTTCCTTTATGTCAGAAGTTAGCTATAGCATCATGTCATGTATTAAAAGCTTTTAGTTAAGTTTTTCCTATTTAGATGCTTCTAATGACTCAGGTTTTTATGCTTCTTCAGAGGCATCTCCCATACATCTCTTAGTTTGGTTGTACAAGCTTGTGCTTCAGAAGAGAATAGAAGAGGGACTAATAGTGAAGAGAGGATTGGGGATTGAAGCAGTAGTTTGAGAGCACTGACTGCTCTTTCAGAGGACACAGGTTTGTTTCCCAGCACACATGTGGTAGCACATAACTGTCTGCAACTCTAGTATCATGGACTCCAGCACCTTCTTTTGGCCTTTGTAGGTACCAGGCACATACATGGTACACAGGCATACATGCAGGCACACGCCCCTCCACATAAAAATAAATAAATCTTAAAATACAGAATTTGTGGGAAATGTTTTATGTATGGTATTTGTTTATGCATATGACTGTACAAGTATGCATGTAGACATGTGGAGGTCAGAGGTCAGTATCGTGTCAGTCACCTTATTTCTTCTTTTATTGGTTCATTTTTTATTTTGTTTTTTCCATGACAGGGTTTCTCTGTAGCTTTGGAGCCTGTCCTGGAGCTAGCTCTTGTAGGCCAGGCTGGCCTCAAACTCATAGACATCTACCTGCCTCTGCCTCCCAAGTACTGGGATTAAAGGCGTGTGCCACCACCACCCGGCTAAGTCACTTTATTTCTTGAGATAGGGTGTCTCACTGAACCTAGAACTCCCTGATTCAGTGCTACTTGCTGGCCACCAAGTCCCAGGGATCCTCCCATCTCTGCCTCCTATCATTGGAATTATAGTTTCACACCCAGTAAGCACTTTCCTTACAAATAATACTCTGTTTTATTGCTCCTTTATAGATGTTTGTATCAATATTAACTGCCAAGATTTATTGAATATGTACTTTGCCAGGTGTTATATTTTATTAAGGTTTTCTTATATTATTGAACATTTGTAAGAATAGTATGCTACTTTAATAATTACAGTGGGAGTCTATATATCTGCAACAAATTGAGATTGTCACTTTAGATTTAGATCAATTTGCTAATAGGCTAAAGAACGCTGGCATGACTTACAAATCTACTATGCTAAATTTTTCATTAATTAGCTTAAAAAGTGTGTGTGTGTGTGTGTGTGTACATGAACATGCCATGACACACTTGTGTAAGTAAGAGGACAACCTTGTTGAGATTGTTTACCTGTGCCTCATTTTTTTTTAATTTCTGAGAGTTCTTCTGTCTCTGTCCTATCTTTGTAAGAGCCCTAGGATTAAAGTTGCACACAACATCCAGGGGTTCCTATCGCAGGCTATCACACTTGTCTGGCAGACGTTTTACCCACTGAGCTATATCTGAAGCCCAGTACTTTTTAAGAGAATAATTGTTGCACGATTAACAAAAACCCGGAGATAGATACTAGGGTTCAACCTGAAGATCAGAAAAGCAAAACAGGCAAGCTACCAGAGAGGTCTTACCTCTAGGAAATCTTCAGACTGAAAGAGAGTTAGTACCTGTCTCTTTCTGCCTTTTATTCCTCTCAAGTGCTGGAATTAAAGGTGTGCACCACCACTGCCCCAGCCTCTATGGCTAACTAGCGAGGCTGCTGATATTAAAGGTGTGTGCCACCACTGCCTGGCCTGTATGGCTGACTAGTGTGGCTGTTCTGTGTTCTGTTCTTATGGCAAGCTTTATTTATTAAAATACAAATAATATACCACTATATTTCCCCTTTTCTAAAATAAAAAATACTTTAACTAATATAAGAAAAACTATATACAATAAATACAATAACTATACACAATATATATAGGCAGTAAATACATCAACAATGTCTAGTTCATTTGCATTTGACAAATTCAGAGAAAATACTCCATGTCTATCTTATCTTGGTGAGTCCAAAGTCTTATACCGAATTTACTGTAACAAAATCATAAGACAGTGGAATTGGGGTACTTTGAATAAATTTTATTTATTACATTTCATAATAACCCTGCCATTTTATGTTCTGATTGCCAAAAAAACTATTTATAAGTCAGTAATTACAGAAATAAATGTTGAATTAAAAGGTTGGGATTGTTTCTGAGAAGCTAGGTTACATACACTGTGAATACACAGTTAATTCTCAGTTGTTCTTACAGACCTGTTAATATTTCCTAGACCAAAAATATCAGTGTTTTTAAGCCTATTGATCTCTATTCCATTTCCTCCAAAACTCCTCAGTTCCTAATCAGAGCTAGGAATTGTGCTTTCTGGTAATTTACTTTAAAGCATTTTTATATTGTAACAACGCTTTAGTTTTTACTGGGATATAGAACTCTGGATGAAAGTGTAGAGTGTGTTCAGATTGTATAATGACAGAAATAGAGCATTAGCAACTTAAGTAACTTGAATCAGAGCTTTGTAAGTTTCTTACTGATCAAAGAGCCAGTTTTTCTTCTTCAGGGTTTATTGTCTCCTCTGGCTCTGTAATTGGCCCAGGAGATGCATCTTAGCTTGGCACAAGGCGGTGCTGTCTATTTGTATGCACCTCTCATTTGGTAGCTGCAGGAATACAGTTGTATCTGCAGTTGAATTTCAATATACGGGATGTAGACAGAAACAGAGATGAAGATGTTTATTGTTATTTAATCCTTATTGGGAAAAGATTATGTTTATGTTTTATGTTTTTAGCAGAAATAAAACTTTAAAGAGTTGATAACAAGGAATTGCTGCCTTGTTCCTATTTGGTTACAAGTGTTTTTATAATTATTAAATTTTGTCCCTGGTTTCTTTGTTACAGTAGAAACAAACCAGATATTTATTGTATTACTTTATAAATGTTGACCTGGGCCATCAGAGTTAGTTTCTTTTATTAAGATTAATAGGCTGAATATGAGAATAAATTGTAAGCTTGAAGTAAAAATTGCCGAATTTTTTCCCCCAAGAAGAAAGGCGGTGTTGTTTGGTGACAGTCAGGGACTGACTGAGAGTTTTGGCAGTATTCCGAATTCTGCCACTGACTCACTGTGGTTTTTGGCAGTCACTTGTTCTCTCTGAAACAAGTTCTTGATTCTTTACTTCTCTGTTTGTTAAGTTAGCATAATAATATCCTGACCTCAGATGTGCTGTGTAATATGTTCCTACTTCAGAACTTTCCAGTGTAAAACTGTAGAGTTCAGAGTCTGGCTCTTAAATATTTCAAAATCATTGTATCTTCATTAGGTAAGTATATCAGAGGTTGTTTAAATGTAGAACAAAACCCTCACTGTACTGTTGAAATGTTGTAAAGCTTGGTGCTTATAGGTAGCATTTTAAGGACAATATAGAGTCTGAATGGTACCCCCTTCATTTTTTTTCAGTGTCAGAAAAAGGAAGAATTTATTGAAAGAATTCAAGGTTTAGATTTTGATACAAAAGCAGCTGTTGCCGCACATATTCAAGAGGTAACTACTTATATATACTTAATGTGTTTTTTATGAAGTTTGCAGTGTGTTTTCTAATAATATCTCCCCCAAATACTTAGTTACAAGATAAACAAGAACAATTAAAGACCAAATATAAATCAACCTTACTTTTATGTAAATTGACTTTCTTTCGAGATAGATAATCCGCAGTGACGTGTGTTATGTATGGCACAGTGCTTGCCACTCATTTGCTTTCTCTTCTCCAAGAGGACATGAGGATGTTGAATGAATTTTGTTTTTATTAGGTAGCACACAATGAATGATAGGCATAAAGATAATAAACTTAGTCTGTGTGTCTTTTTCTTAAATGAATGATCATTTTATTATAATATTACATTATATTATAATACATTGATTATTTTAAAATATTCATATAAAACAAACCTGAGACATAATGTACCATGTCAAATTATAGATGTTAATGTAATTTTTAATTGAAATTTATTTTAAAAGCTTCCACTTCCATAACTATTTACTCATGAGCTATAAATCTTATAATGTCTTTTGTAGAATTAGGTTATATATTAAATTTTGCATGTTGGGAGAGAATTCTAAAATTGTGTAAATTGGTTGTACTTAAAATATTCTCAGATGACCATTTCGTGTCATCTTTTTTCTCTTAGTTAATTTCAGAGTCCAGATGAGAGTTTATTTTTTCAGTTAAAATGTTTAGTTTTGTCATTTATTTCAAATCTACTTCTTTCTGCTTTTTTTTTAATATTTATTTACTTATTATGTATACAATAGTCTATCTGTGTGTGTTCTGCAGGCCAGAAGAGGGCACCAGACCCCATTACAGATGGTTGTGAGCCACCATGTGGTTGCTGGGAATTGAACTCAGGACCTTTGGAAGAGCAGGCAATGCTCTTAACCACTGAGCCATCTCTCCAGCCCTTCTTTCTGCTTTTATAATTGAGCTGATTTTGTACTAAACTGAAATCAATATTTAATTATTAGCCATTCTTTGATTGTTTGATTGCCTCTCTAAAGGTAACTCATAATCAGGAAAATGTGTTTGACCTGCAATGGATGGAGGTGACAGATCTGTCTCAGGAAGATATAGAACCACTCTTGAAGAATATGGCATCACATCTAAGAAGACTGATAGATGAGAGAGATGAACATTCAGAGGTTGGTTCTTTCATTGTATTATGGAAGTTTGCTTTCTTAAAAGAAAAAAAATGTTTTCTAGAATGGATATTGTTTTTTAGCGGCAGATAATAAACTTTAGTCATTCTTTGGTGTCAGTGCAGCGTATTGGTTCTAGGACCTTCTTAAGTACTTGAGAGGCCCAGGAAGGTGGACCTCTGAGTTCAAGGCTAGCCTGATCTAAAGAGTGAGTTCCAGAACAGATGTAGCTGCACAGAGAAACCCTGACACAAAACGGATACTAAAGCCAAAAATGCTTAGTTTCTTCTCTTAAAAAAAGGTACAGTGTTTACATATAAAACTACAGATATCTTGAATATTGTAAATCATCTTTTAATTACCTATAATAATGAATAGTATGTAAATAATAGAAAAATAGTTGATATGCTGCATTATTTAGGAGTGGTGGCAAGAAAAAGCCTGTACATGTGCAGTGCAAACACAGAGATTCCCCCTTATTATCTTCTATCCACAGATGGTTTAATTTGCAAATGTGAAAACTAGATGGTGCACGAACTATAATGTCTTTCTTTTTTGTTTTTATTTTTGCTTTGTTTTGTTTTTGCATGTGTGTGTAAAACACAGGAATTAGAATTAGAGAAGAAATAAAAGAGCCTTGGATTTATTTTTTTTAAGATTTATTTAGTTATCATGTATATAGTATTCTGCTTAAATGTATGCCTGCGGGACAGAAGAGTGCACTAGATCTTCCTATAGATGGTTGTGAGCCACCATGTGGTTGCTGGAAATTGAACTCAGGACCTCGGGAAGAGCAGCCAGTGCTCTTAATTTCTGAGCCATCTCTCCAGTCCCCGAACCTTGGATTTTTAATAAGTGCATTATTATTAGTTTTTTTCTCTTTTTCTTTTAAATCATTATTATTCTGATTTTGTTCCTATTTTTCAAGTTACCCCATTACTTTGGCAATAGTGCAGAATTGTGAAACTGAATATATAGTTGATATAAGTGGAAAATGCATTGCCTTGAAGCATAAAAATTTGCTAAATTTCTTGATTTTGTTGCCCATCTGATCCCAAGTTAGTTGGGGAGGGGACAAGCAGTTAGGGAATCAGTGGTCAAACAACCCTTTTGTTTTATTTTATTCTTTAAAATTATTTTTACAAGGTCTCATGTACCCCAGACAGATCTCAAAGTTAACATGTATCTGAGGCTGACCATGAATTCCTCTTCTTGCTTCCAATTACCAAGTACTGTGATTTTAGGTGTGAGCAGCCAAGCCAAGGTCCCAGAGACCTTGTTAGTCAAATTGATCTAGAGGGAATCCATTTTAAATTTAATCATCTCATCTTTATGTGATGGTTCTAGTATCTCAGACTACTACTCAGGTTGATTTGAAAATTAAACCCCTGTAGCATATCAGCAATCAACAGTTAAAACCAAAGTTTACAAACCAGTCTTTTTAGTTTTATTACAGACATTATTATTACCAGGTTTCCTGGTGATCATTGTCTAATACTTAGGTACATTTAATAATTCCTATGCAAAAAAGTTTAATAAGAATTTTAGTTGATACCAACTTGGCAAATTATTCTAAAATTTATATTTTAGAAAAATGTATAGTGGAAGAACTTAGTAGAAAAAGTCAGTAATGTACAGAAGCTTCTTATAGACTTAGCTTTAACTATCAAAGAGAAATTTAGAATTGTTAATAGGTTTAGACCTCTTACAAGTTTAGAAAACAGCAGTAGTCAGCCATAAATAACTTAGTACTTGATGAACAAGTACCTCTCACATATACAATGGGAAAACGTTTGTTTAATTAAAACAAACACATATAGACCAGGTTTCAAATAGCAGGAGTAGCCAAATATTGTATTCCTTTTATCTGAAGATAATGAACACAGCTGGCAAAGACCAAGAGCTTTCTGACTATTGAAGATCTAGATACAAATAATATTGTATAAAAGGAGCACTTACTGTTTGTCTTTGCATATGTAATACTTGTGCTTCCTCTACAAAATGGCCATAACATTTAGGCAAAGCTTAGTATAGAGCATATAAGCCCTCAAATACATGTGTATCCATAATTATAGACATAATGGTAGCAAATATAATCAATATATATTTAACAAGAGTCATAAAATACTCATTTAAATATGTTTTTAAATCAGAGGATTAAGATACTTTCAAAGATTTGCTTTCTCATCATGCAGTGGTAGCGAATGCCACTTGGGGGGCAGAGGCAGGTAGATCTCAGTGAGTTCAAGGCTGGCCTGGTCTACAAAGCAAGTTCGAGGACAGCCAACACTGTTATAAAGAGAAACATTGTCTCAGGGGGAAAAATACTTTCTCTAAGTAATAAAGTAAACAAGTTGGTTTTTTTTGTTTTTTTTTTTTGTTTTTTTTTTTTTTTTTTGTCTTCTTGTGGGACTCCTAACAGTGAGAGCAAGGGCTATCTCTGACACTTTTGCTGGCTTTTGGGACCCTATTCCTCACACTGGGTTGCCTTGCCCAGCCTTAATACAAGGGGAGGTGCTTAGTCTTACTGCAATTTGATAGGCAATGATAAGAAAACTTTGCTTTAAACATAGAAAATTATATCCTGCTTCTGTATTAGTATATATTTTGACCTTGGGAATTTTTTTCCTTTTTTTTTTCCCTTCCCCCAGATAGGGTTTTACTTTGTTGCTCTGGCTGTCCTGGAACTCACTATGCAAAAACCAGGCTGCCCTGGAGCTCGCAGAGAGCCACCTGCTCTGCTTCCTGAGTGCCAAGATTAACATGTGTCATTCTCCCCAGCCATGGGGATTTCTTTAAATACCCTTTAGTAATAGCCAGCCTAACCATCCATTTACCAGTTATTTTTACGTTTCATCTGTCACAAGCATTGTTGTGGTATACTTTATTTAAATTTCCTGCTTTGTCCTTATATAAAGTATAGCTCCAGGCTGCCCTGACCCATTGATTATTGGAATATACCACCATGGACTGCTGTATTTTTCTTGGTTCTAAATTACTTGTGTGTTACATAGTGAAATATTTTTAACACCTTTTTTGTGCTTCATACTATGCTAGATGAGAGGATGAAAGATACAGAGGAGGAATAACAGATTATTTCTGGTTTATTGAGGAAAAAACTACATTATTTTTAAGTAGAAATGAAGGCTAGTATATATAATTAGGTACTAATTGGTTTGTATAGGAATCAAATGTTCGTTATCTATTATCTCCTAGGTACTATTATTAAAATCAGGGAGTGTTAGAAAAATTAAAGATAATTAAGACAACAAGAAAAATGAACAAAAAGTTGACTCTGGAAATGGAGCCTTCGTCCACTGTGGAGAATAATGTTGCATTGTCCATAAAGACGGGAATTTGCAAGATGTGCTTCTGGATGGGAGGACAGGTGTCTGTCAGGGACATATAAAGTCACCTTCAGAAGTAACAAGGAAGGAATTTGGTGCTTCTCTCTCTCTCTTTTTTTTTTTTAAACATGGAAGAAGCTGTGTGCATATCTTTGAAGAACAAAAAGGAAAAATAGAAGTTTATGCATGTTTTGAGTGAAAGTTATATAATAATGAATCAGCTAACCCTAGGTGATTAGTTGGAGAAGAGGTCATTGATTGAGAAGTGATGATAGCAGGGTTTTCCCATTTTACATACTAACCCCAGTTCTCTTCCCTCCCCTTCAACCACCCCCCATCCACTCCTCAGAGAGGAGTAAGGTCTCCTTGGGGGGGTCAACAAAGTCTGGCATACCAAGGTGAGGCAGGACCAAGCCCCTCCCCTTGCAGCAAATAACCATTTTTGCTATTAGCTATCATAATTGGATATCACAGTTGTAGACAGATCACTTTTTGGTTTTCTTTCTTGTGTCGACATGTCTTTTATACCTTTCCAATAATTGTTATCTTATTATTTTGTCATGTGATTTCTTTTATTTAAAAAAAAAACCTAGGGAGATGAAAAAAAAGCATTGATGTGTTTCAGTGTTTCCTGCTAAATACCTCATGCATAAACTGTTGAATTAAAATTTGAAATGACAGCTAATATTAAAAAGAAAAAAATGGTATTTTTGTTGTTGTTATTTCCTTTTTTCAGAGACAGAGTCTCACCATGTAGCCATGGCCGAACCAAAAGTCATGAGTAGACCACACTGGCCTCAAACGCACAGTGAACCACCCACCACCTTCATCTGTGCCTCCAAAGTGCTGGAATTTAGGGTTTGCACCACCTCATCTGGCAAAGTCTAGATGCTTTTGATTAATGAGTTGATCAAAATCAGTCAGTGACTAGTGTTGCCGTGTCTAGGTTCCTGATGTTTAGGACAACACTAAAACTGATTCTGTGTTTACCCTGTAATTCTCAGACTATCGTAGAGCTCTCTGAAGAGCGAGATGGTCTTCATTTCCTACCCCATGCCTCTTCATCTGCGCAGTCACCCTGCGGTTCTCCGGGCATGAAACGGACAGAGAGTCGACAGCACCTCTCAGTGGAACTGGCTGATGCCAAGGCCAAGATCCGAAGACTGAGACAGGAACTGTAAGTCCTGAGTTTCAGTATTCTCTGAAACCATGTGGTAACAAAGATGACTTTAGCAGTATTTTAAGTCTAACAATAAGCCAATTGTCCTGTCATTAACCTAAATCAAATTATTTATTAGTGTTTTGTCAAACTGAGAAAAAATTGCCTACAATCCTTACACTCAAGTATAAGAGAACTCAGCAATTCATGGTCATTCTCAGATACAAAGTAAATCTCAGCTTAGTCTGGACTATGTGAAACCCTGCCTGAATAATAGTAGGAATGACAATAATGTTTTCAGAGACTGAATTGTTGACATAGATTATTACAAAAATAATTTTATATGTATCAATGTTGTCATTGATGTGCCAGTCATCTACTTAATAAAATATTCAGATTTCATTAGTACTGATAAAATTGTACTTAGTAAGTTATCAAGCTTACTACAGAAAATACAGTATAAATTTTACATATTCACTTTTGGATGAACCACAAGTGAAAGCAAGACCAATCTTTGTTGAAGATTTTGTGTTTTGTACTCTAAGGAGAACAAAGGAATTTTGATTTATAGGTTTTTTCTTTTTTAAAATTTGTTTTCCTGGAATTTGAGATTCAGAATGTAGGTTTTAAATTTACATACACAGAATAGTAATTACTTTTGTTTATTAATTATTTAAAGTAACTTAGAAAAGTGAATTGGATATGTAAGGTAGAAAAAGCATTAAATAGTCTGTAGGAAAATTTGAAAACAAAAAAAAATCTTTCATTTGTGGATGTCTGCATTATTATGTGTCTATTGAAGTGAACACACCCAGGATATTCTATAAACAGCTGCACCAGGAAAATTAGAGAAGAGATTGCTGTTATTAGTTTGACTGGCAGCTAATGGATAGCCTAAACAGTGAGCACTAGTTCTTTCCATATAATTTAGCCCAATCTTCTCCAGTCTTTAGATGAAGCATGCAATTAGAGCTGCAGTGCTGGCTGTGAATTCATTTACCATGTTGCATTATATTAGAGTTTAATTTTCAAATAGAATTTACTTGGCCTTGGAATATATTAAAAATCCAAACAGCCTTGAGAAGATTGACAAAAATTGTTTTCATGTGTAATGATTTGAAAATATAAGTGGAGGCTTTTGAGTGAGCGAAGATAGCAGATGCATGCAGCAAGTATTTCAGTAGCTGCAGTTTATCAAACCCCATCTCTTTGAAAATGTCTTCTTTTATATATTTCTTAAGAGGACATTTACCAAATCTTTCTTTTGTTTTAAAAGAGACAAATATTTCCTGTAGTGGATTAGCAGCAGAAATCTTGGTTAAAAAAAAGTCCAGACTGTTTATACCTAAAGGAAACTATAAAATAATTAGAATGTTATGGGTAATGCCAAATAGTATAATTGATTTTGATTTACAGAGTAAAAGTATGATTTATGATTAAATGGAATAACTAATTCTTTATAAATTAAGATGTTTATACAATAATTAACATTACTGAAGACTTCCTTCAGTAGTCCTTTCAACCACCATTGGTTATATGTTTTGGGAGTTTCTTTAATATAATGATTAATTATTTTATTAAAAAAGAAAATACTTTTGCTAAGATATAATTCAGAATCTGACAATTCCTCCTTTTAAAGTATACAATTAAATGAAATTTTAAGTTGTGCAATCTCCACAATAATTGAATAAAAGTTTCTTTGTCCATTCACTTTGCCTTCAGATCTTAGCAGTGGCTAATCTGTTGTATTTCCCTGGGTTTGCCTCACATAAAGGAAACAAATGCTGTATGGCCTTCTTGTCTGGCCTGGTGTCCTCCAGGTTCATCGGTGCTGTAGCATGTAGCTAATGTCTTGTTATAATGACAAAAAAAGAACCTTCTAATCTATAAAAAGACAAACAAAATGAGAGTTAGAAATAAGAGGGTAGTCAAGATGGTGCTTGCTGTTAAGCCTGACAGCCTGAGTTTGGTCCACATAGTGGAAGGAAGGAGAGAACCTTTCTCAGTCAAGTTGTTCTCGTTCTCCACTCATACACCACGACACTCAGCCTCCTTCCTTCAGCAAATGAATAAATCGGGTGGGGGGGGGGGACTGAAGAGGGGCTAATAATTTACAAATAAGAAATTTAAATAGCATGATGTTAATGTTCTTTTAGCAGAGCAGTTTGACAGTAGATATCAAGAACCAAGACTATAGTTTCCATTTAGAAATATGTCCAGACAGATAATGCAGACTTTTTAGCGTACTCTTTAATATNCATGTGTGCCTGAAAGCCAGAAGGGGGCGCCAAGTCTCATTATAGATGGCTGTGAGCCACCATGTAGTTGCTGGGAATTGAACTCAGGACCTCTGGAAGATCAGTCAGTGCTCTTAACCACTGAGCCATCTCTCCAGCCCCTAGAGTACTCTTGTAAATTAAACACTACTCATTATATTGAAAACTAAAACCTACTTAGTAAATTATATTTCTTTTATCAGAAAAATTTGTGGGTTTTGAACACAGAGAAACATGAAGATATGTAAAAGTAAGCTGTTTATTCATTGCCCTTTATTATTAGACAACAGAAAGCAGAAAATAGTTAAGTACAGTCTTCCTTTGAGAAGATTAGCTCTGATAGAAAAATTATGAAAAAATTAAAAATAAACAGTTCAAAAATTAATAAAAATTGAGATATATTGCTGAGCATGGTAGTGCATGCCTTTTAATTTCAGCACTTAATTTCAGAACAAGAGGCAGAGATATGGATTTTTGTGAGGTCAGTCTGGTCTACATAGTGTGTTCCTGGGTAGCTAGCATTGCGTAGTGAGACCTTGTGTCAGTATATGCGAACATCTATGTATATATATTTATGTATCTAACAATATGTTAAGTAATATGTAGAGATTTGGGGTATATGTATGGCAAATAGTAAGTGTATGGCTTCCTTTAGGCCATTGTAAATGTAGAAATTAGTTTGGTTTTTCTTTATGAGGAATTCCCCATACATAGTATATATAAAAATCATTCATGCTTAATTGTTGTTGAATTAGCAGAGTTGGAGAGAAAGTTAAGGTAGGAGGACAGATGAAGAGATAGAAAGTATATACTAACGAGTAAGGAATTAGTTATTGTCCTTTTAACATCATTGGTGAAAGTTTGATAACATCTAGTCATATATTCATAGTATCTTTTTCTTGCTTGTATTTCCCCCAAGTGTTCTGGTTAGGGATAACACTCTGTTCAGTTAGGTTTTTGTTCTGCAACAGTGTATTACTGTATAGCTCTGGAATTTACTGCATAGATCAGACTGGCCTCAAGTTCATGGAGATCTGCTGGCCTCTGCCTACTTAGTGCTGGGATTAAAGGTGGGTGCCATCTTGTCCAGCAGTGCTTTTCTTACTTTCATTTTATGTGTATGAGTGCTTCTCTGCAAACATGTATGTGCACTAAATGTATGTCTGGTACCTACAGGGGCAAGAAGAAAGCATTGGAATGCTAGAATTACAGACACTTCTGAGTCATTATGTTGGTGCTGGGTACTGAACCCTGGTCCTCTACAAGCTCAGCAAGAACTCTTAACTGCTGAGCCATCTACAGCCCTCAGTTACTGTGTCTTAATGTTTAATCACAGATTCTGGAAGAGTATGCTTATTCTTTAATAAATATCTTTTTGCATTTAAGGGAAGAAAAGACTGAACAGTTACTGGACTGTAAACAAGAACTTGAACAAATAGAAATGGAATTAAAGAGGCTGCAACAAGAGGTGTGTACTTAGATTTATTATATTGGAGAATGAAATAGTTGGAAATTGATTTATCTCATTGTAATTTATAACCATGACCACCTCTCAGTTACCTCATATATTTATATAAATTCTGGTGACTTTTTATTGCCTTTACCAAAACACAGAGCCGGAGCTAGAAATCAAGGTCTATTGTTCCTATTATTCAAACTTCTCCAAGATTCAAAGTAGTCCTTTTAGACTGGGGCAGTTCTAAGTCTGTCCCTCTTTTTTATGTCTTTGTCATCTATCGCTGGTTTACCCACATACCTCTGTGTACTGAATTGAGCTGTTATGGGTCTGTATGTAGTCTCCCATAGTGACTATATTAGGTTACATATACACTAAAATTTTTATTTATTCTTTTCCCATATACTGTATCCCAAATGCAGTTTCTTCTCCCTTCACTCCTCCTAGTCCCTCCTCCCATACTGCCTCTGTCCCCCCAGATCCACTCCCCCTCCATTCTCCTCCAGAAAAGAGCAGTCCTCCTAGGAATATCAACTGAACATAGCATAACAAATTACAATAAAACTAGGTACATACCCTCATATCAATACTGGACGAGACAACCCATTAGGAAGAAAGGGTTCCAAGAACTGACAAAAGAGTCAGAAACACTCCGCATTCCCTCTGTTAGGAGTTCCATATGAATATCAGGCTATGCAATAGTAGCATATATGCAGAGGACCTAGCTCAGATCCGTGTTTGTTGCTTCAGTCTCTGTAAACCCCATGAACCTGCTTAGCTGGTTCTGTGGGACATTTTCTTGTAGTGTCCTTGACCCTTCTGGCTCCTGAAGTCACTCCTCCCGGAGCTCCATTTAATGTTTGGCTCTGGGTCTCTCTGTATCTACTCCAGTCCGTTGCTGGGTGATGCTTCTCTGATGACAGTTGGGCAAGGCTCCAGTCTATGAATATCAGAGAATATCATTAGGAATCATTTCATTGACTTGTTTTGTTTGTTTGTTTTTCAATTGTGTTTTGTTCTATCCTAGGTGTAGTAATGAAGTGCTGGGCTACCCACCCTCTGGTACCTGACCATCTAGGCAGTTCATTGGTTGACCACTCCCACAATTTCTGTGCCCCATTACCCCAGCATATTTTGTAGGCAGAACAAATTGTAGGTCAAACGTTTTGTGGCTGGGTTGATGTCCTCCTAGTCCCACCACTGGAAGCTTGCCTAGTTAAGAAGATGGCTGGTTCAGGCTCCATATCCCCTATTACTAGGAGTCTTCACTAGACAGACACCCTTGTAGGTTCCAGGGAGTTTCCATTGCACTAACTTTCTAAAACGCCTCCCCAAATGTCCCCAGTTCCAGTTTTTCTACTACTTTCTTCCTCCATCCCCCCAACTGACCCTTGAGCCTGATCCCTCCTATTTCCATCCTCACCTGCCCTCAGCCTACCCGTAAAATCCATTTCCCCTTCCCAGGGAGATCAATGTGCCCCCCCCCAAGTCCTCCTTGTTTCTTTTTGTTTTTGTTTTTTTGTTTGTTTGGTTGGTTTTTTTGTTGTTGTTTTGTTTTGTTTTGTTTTGATTTTCAAGACAGGGTTTCTCCATAGCTTTTGGTTCCTGTACTGGAACTAGCTCTTCTAGACCAGGCTGGCCTCGAACTCACAGAGATCCACCTGGCTCTGCCTCCCAGTGCTGGGATTAAAGGCGTGCCCCACACCACCCGGCCCTCCTTGTTTCTTAACCTCTCTTGGTCTGTGGATTGTAGCTTAACATCCAGTGTCACTTATGAGTGAGTGTATACCATGTCTGTCTTTCTGGGTCTGGTTACCTCACTCAGGATGATTTTTTTTTCTAGTTCCATTCATTTGCCTGCAAATTTCATGATGTCATTGTTTTTAACAATTGAGTAATACTCCATTGTGTAAATGTACCGCATTTTTTTTCTTCATTTATTCTTTGGTTGAGGGACATCTCTGTTGTTTCCAGCTTCTGGCTATTATTAATAAAGCTGCTATGAACCATAGTCAAGCAAATGTCCTCATGTATGGTGGAGCTTTCTTTGGGTATAAGCCCAAGAGTGGTATAGCTGGGTCTTGAGGTAGATCCATTCCCAGTTTTCTGAGGAACCACCACATTGATTTCCATAGTGACCATATGTGTTTACATTCCCACCAGGAGTGTTCCCCTTGTTCCACATCCTTCCCTGCAGGAGCTGTTACTTGTAGTATTGATTTTAGCCATGTCCTTGCCTATATGAGCTGTCATTTGTGTTATTGATCTTAGCCATTCTGACAGGTATAAGATGGAATCTCAAAGTCATTTTGATTTGCATATACCTGATGGCTAAGGATGTTGAACGTTTCAAGTGTTTCTTAGCCATTTGAAATTTCTCTGTTGAGAATTTTCTGCTTTCCCAATGTGATTATGTTAGGTGGTATGTATCAAAATGGTTTTTGTATTTGTCTTTTGGGTCACCCCCCCCCCCCGCTTGAGCTATAGGTATTAAGATTTTTTTAAGGGATTGTTAGAAAAGGAGGAGGAGATAGAATAGTGTGCATAAGAGTAAAAGAAGCTGGTGAAATAATCAAATTATATGTTTGTATTAAAATGTCATAACGTGCCAGGTGGTGGTGGCACATGCCTTTAATCCCAGCACTTGGGAGGCAGAGGCAGGTGGATCTCTGTGTGAGTTCGAGGCCAATCTGGTCTACCGTGAGTTCCAGGATAATCAGGGGCTGTTACACAGAAAAATACTGACTAAAAAACAAACAAACAAAACAACTAAAGTTTCATAGGAAAATCCATTATGTTTTTAATTAATTAATATATGTTAATCTTAAAAACTAATAACAAGAGGATTTTTTAAAATTTTTTGTATTTTTAAAGAATTTGCTTCTTTTAATCACTGTTTTCCTTAGTTTTTCATTGGATATCCAAGCCATAAATGCCAAGGATTGGAGTAAGGCTGGACAGTTATGTCTTTCTCTTACTTACATACCTTGTCTGCTATTTTGAATGTTAAAAATTATATGTGAGATCATAAACTGAGACCATCCTACATGAATGAGCTCTAACTCTTATTCCACTTTTTTGATAACAGAGGTTTGTGTATGCGTGCACACACTTCTTTTGCCCCAAAAGAGAGGCTCTCTAAAACAAATAAGACTAATAGAAGGAAGAAAATTTCATTTTTTATTTTTGCAAATCTCTTTATGTCTGCTGACATAGAAGACTTACGATGTGGGCTGCAGAGGTGGTTCAGTGGGAAAGACCCTGACTACCAATTCTGATGAGCTGAGTTCAGTCCCTAGGACCCGTGGAAGGAGAGAAGCAGCTTCTGTCGGCTGTCCTTTAACCTCCGTATTACTCACAAAATAATTTTAGTTAAAAAAAAAAAAACTTTCGAACTCTCACAGGCCAGTGACACGAGAGACTAAAATGTCAAAATATATTTTACTTATTTTCCAAAATACCCACACATCAAATTATTTCACCAACTTTCTGTGTTGGTGACACAGATATATCAATAGTCCTAGAATGTTGCTCTTGTTACACACAAAATTCTAACAATAAATATTTTAATAGTGTTTCATAAAAAAAAAGTGAAAAGAAATCATGAAAATAGTTTTGACCTTATAAATTTCTGAATATTTTAGAGGTCCACAAAATTGCTCTGTATATTTTTAGGACTTCTGTTGTGACTGCAGAATTTCTTAAAAGATTATATTGTAATAGTTAAATGCAAGTAAGATACAGAAATATTTTACTTAGAAGCATTTGAAAAATTCAGCTACATTTTAGTATGCCACATATGTGGATAAAGACATTTTTTCTAAAGTAGTAATTTAGTTGTATCACTTAGATTTTCTATATGTTTATAGTCGTGTATTTTCAAGTTACACTTTTATTAATCTTGTGTTTCTTGGTATTTTGCCTTCATGTATGTCTATGTATCACATGAGTGCAGTGCCCGCAGAGGCCAGAAGGTGACAGATCCCCTGGGACTGGACTTATACATGGTTGTTAACCACCATGTTGGTGGTAGGAATCGAACAAGTTTCTCTGGAAGAGCAGTGCTCTTAGCAGCTCTGAGCCATCCCTAACTTTTATAAGCTTAAATTTTACTGTGAATGTTGTGTTAAATAGAGGTTCGCTTAATTTATAATTCCTTTTTAAAAAAACATTGCTAATAGAGAACATTATGTAAAATTTGTATATAAACATATATATAAAACCCTTTTAAAATTGGTTCAAGGAATATGTCCTCATTTTTAAGACACTATTATTATTTATGTACAGTTTCCTTTTAAATATATATGACTTATGACTTTTATTAAATTAATGAACTTGTCTGAACAAAAAATAATGTTTAAAGGGGAAAGTTAATATGAAAGCATTATTTTATTTATATTTAGAACATGAATTTGCTTTCGGATGCTCGATCTGCTCGAATGTACCGAGATGAATTGGATGCACTTCGAGAGAAGGCGGTCCGAGTTGATAAGCTTGAAAGTGAACTCAGCAGATATAAGGAGAGACTTCATGACATTGAATTTTATAAGGCAAGAGTTGAGGTATGTTGCATAGTTATTCATACTTTTTTCTTTAGAGTGTTAAGATTTTCAAAATTCATTTTATAAACAAGGAATTGAATATAGAGGAAACATTAAGTTGAATTCATAATATGTTTAATTCTGGGGCAGGGAGGTAGAAAATGGGTGAAGCAAAAAAAAAAAAAAATCAACAGTATAGTGCTAGTGCTTGGTAGCTTTCCTCCTGCACAGAAATGTCATAAGAATGGGTTAGTGTGTTTATTTGCATTGATGGATTGTTATATTCTACAACCTTATAAAACATATATTAGCACATTTCTAATTCATTTTTAAACCTATTTGAAATATTTATAGGAATTAAAAGAAGATAATCAAGTTTTATTAGAAACAAAAACCATGTTGGAAGACCAACTAGAAGGAACTCGAGCTCGTTCTGACAAATTACATGAGTTAGAGAAAGAGAATTTACAACTAAAGGCTAAATTGCATGATATGGAAATGGTAAGTTTGATGGGATTGGTCAGTTTTCCTGCTTTCTGAGGAAGAATCCCATGATTCATCTAAGTCCTCGATAATGACAAGGATGGCTAGAGTTCTTAATAAGGCTTTAACATAGATAAGATAGCTATAATTATATATTTTATATAAGTAAATTTTTATATTAAATTCTATATTATATAACTTAAGATATCACTACCGTTACATAAAATAAATATACAGTAATATTTTGTTTTAATTAAAGATGGATATTAATTACTAAGTTTTCCCTTTCAAAAATAGTAAATCAGTTTTATAACTTCTGTCTTAAAATGCAGAAGTTTTATAGCTGTCAGGTAAAATTTAGCAATGGCCATAATTATGTTGTTAGATGACTAAAATAATATACTGAGTGTGAAGGAACGTTTTCATTTCGTCCCTAAAGATTATTTGAAAAGGCCACATATCCAGGAATATATAGGAGCACAAATTAGGCTTGATGGGTTAAAAAAACAAAAGAGGACACAGACTTGGGCAGGTGGGTAGTAGGGAGGAGATTTAGGGGTTGGAAGAGGGGAATGAAAACAATCCAGATGTGTATTAAATCCTCAGAGAGCTAGGTTTTTAAGATCATTTTAAAAGGATGTCTGGTACCTGGTAAATAATGATCAGTGATGATTATAATAACTAAGTATTGCCTTCAGTGCAAAAATTTTAAGGAACTGAAGATATATTCAGTTTAAAATATGTAAAAATTAATGAATAATGAATGAAAACTACAGTACTTACTAGCTTTCTTTTCCTACTCTGTGCAATTGAATAGGAAAGAGATCTGGATAGAAAGAAGATTGAAGAATTAATGGAAGAAAATATGACTTTGGAAATGGCACAGAAACAAAGTATGGATGAGTCACTGCACCTTGGGTGGGAACTGGAACAGATATCCAGAACGAGTGAGCTTGCTGAAGGTAGTCTCAGTTGTACTTCATTTAATATAGTGTTGTAATTCTTTATTTTCTCTAGCCAAAGATCATACAAGACTACCAGTTGTCTCCAAAACTGCTATCTCACAAAGTCATACCTTGTTTTTACTTTTTTTAGGTCTGATTTTTACTCTGTATCTTAAAACTCAACTTTATTTGTTCTGGGAAAGGGGACTTTCTAAAAACTTGAATTTCCAGGCGGATACCTATATGTTTTTCTTTGGATTCACCTTCTTATTTAGCTTCTCTAGGATCACAAATTATATGCTCAATGTCCTTTACTTATGGCTAGAAACCAAATATGAGTGAGTACATCCCATGTTCATCTTTTTGGGACTGGGATACCTCACTCAGGATAGTGTTTTCTATTTCCATCCATTTGCATGCAAAATTCGAGAAGTCATTGTTTTTTACCACTGAGTAGTACTCTAATATGTATATATTCCACACTTTCTTCATCCATTCTTCCATTGAAGGGCATCTAGATTGTTTCCAGGTTCTGGCTATTACAAATAATGCTGCTATGAACATAGTTGAACAAATGCTTTTGTCATA